AATTTTTCACTTTCCTGAAGGTAAATGGTTCACAAATCAATTACAAATTTGCACTTTCAACTAATTGTTGTTAAAATATTATTATGGGTAACTTGAAATTTTAGTTTCAATCTCTTGTATCTTTAGTATTTGTATGATATTTTAATGGAGCCACCTCGAACTGAACTGAGAGTAATTCTAATACTTTTTTGATGTTGCTATAGTTCTCCAGCATATACTTGGCGTGTTTAGGATAGTTATTCAATATCTTAATCAAAGTGCTTCTAGTTTTTTGGTATCCAATTACAACTAATTTTATGTTTAGTTGCATGTCAGAGTATATTTTGAAAATTTTGTGAACTCTTGAAATCTTTTTGGAAGGGAGGCTTGGGTTTTTTTTTTTCCTCGTAGAAGTATTTATTAAGAAAGCGGTTAGACACACCCTGAGCCTACACTCGCATGACATTGTCACAAATTAAATTAGATATTGATGTGTTTAAATGATTTGGTTGACCCGTTTTATTCTTTTTAACTTGATTGCTTGCATGAATTCTACAACAGGCAGAGAAGAATGATCTTCGGAAAGAGAAAATCATTTTGAAGGAAGACAAAGAAAGGATCGAGCAACAGTTGAAATCTGTAGCCATTCCACCTCCAGGGCTCATTCCTGGTCATCCAGCTGCATATCATGCTGCTCCAGGTAAGATGGCTGTTTTCCCCGGTTATGGTTTGATCCCAATGTGGCCATATCTTCCTCCATCGGTACGTGATACATCTCAAGATCACGAGCTCAGACCTCCTGCCGCCTAGTTAATTTTGCCACCTTTGAATAATTAGAGTTTCTCTTTGTTTCATCCCTACATTTTTGGTTCACCAACATGTAAGTATTTCTCAAAACACATTTCCTGATTTTATTGCAAACAACTAGTTGCAAAATGAAAGCAGAATTTGCAAGGACGTTGTTTGATACTCTTTTTAGTAATTTTCATTCAATGCCCATTATCTTTGTGATCTTGAGCTCAGATCAATATTACTTATATTTTAAAACCAATTTTAATTTGTCCACTTTATTATTCTTCATTGGTCAAAACCTTAGTTAGATCCAGAGAAAGGTTGCCAAAAGTAGAGGAGAGATCAAAAACTTAGCGAGTGGGTAAGGAAATGGCTTTGTAAGGGTTAGCCAACGGAAGGTGTCAATCCACACAATTCCTTATTAACAAAAGCAGGTGGAAGGAGGTTTAGCATTCATCTTAGTCTTCTTTTAATAACTCTGATGCATGTTGAACTTGAGTTAGCAAAAACCTATTCCCCGTTGACCATTCTATATTGTGAAAATACTGTAGATTATCCGACCATTTAATTGAAAGATAGAATGTATCCTCCGAACAAAATTATTAAGAAAAGATGCATAATTTTCGGTATGACGACCAAAATTGGGATATATTACATGAGGTACTATCATAGAAAAAAGTAGTAGGGTAATTTTGTAATTTTCTTTTTTGATCCGTTAGTAATTAGATTTTACTGAGCAGTGGGCTGACATCCTCGGTAAAGTAATTGATATTTGGATTTAAACTATTGACCATTGACCATTGACGATTAAAATGGTAATAAGGACTTTGTTAGCTCAGTTTGGCATATTTAGAACTTTTAAATACAGTGACGTTGAATAGAAGACTTCTGAAGCCTTAGTCCATTAGATTCTAGGCTGCACTGCATCGTTATAGCGAATGAACTGCACCAATGGCCACGATTAAAGCATCAGTCTCTACTTCAAAGGCCATGAAAATCTGGCAGGGCTAGAATTGAGGTTGATGTAAGCTTAAGCTCTAGTTGTTGAAGCTATCCCATTGAAGTGGAAAAGAAGCTTCAGCCATTTCTATTTTTCTTCCAACTTCCTGGGTTAAATTTGATTATGGTTTGAATCTCTGTATGTTCCTTCCATAACCTTTTTCTGCAGAGGCTCGTATTGTGTTGTAGTACAAGCATGATGTTTGTCAAGACAAAGCTCATAGGACATAAGTAAATGCTGTCATTTGCAGTATGAGTGAATCCTATGCCTTAAGTTACCACCATGCCATTTTCTGCACCTAAACCTGCTGGTGTTGGGTTATACTAATGCCTTCCATCTTATAGACATACCTTGATATGAAGTTTGATTGCCATTGCATGACTTGATCTTGTGATTTCAGGAAAAATCTTGGTCTCATCCTCTCGTGAGCAATCCACAATTCCTTCAAAGGTAACCTCATAATAAACAAATCCAAGAAAGCAAAATATGATATTTTTCGCCTTTTTTTTTTCTCTCTCTCAAACTTCAATGCTCAACAGTCGTTTTGTATGCTAGAAATTAGTGAACAACCCTAAACAGACCCATTTAATTTGATGGGGGAGTACCGAGGATTTCAATGGCAAAAGATTGTTGAAATTGGTCAACAGAGAGTTTGGAACATACACCGCTGTTGAATGAATAAGAATATGGAGCACACAGATTTAGACTTTCAACCTCAACAGGAGTAGATGGCTTTATTAGAGCATTACAAAAAGAATTTAGAGTAGATATCGCCACATAAGTTTTCTGTCACGGTAATGAACGAAGTCTTCAACATTTGCACAGCCCCAAAAAAAGTAAATTCATAATACGTCACAACTGGAACCAATTAACATTTGAGATTTAATCTCATTTCTTTGTGCACGAAGGGGTAGGACTTCAATTTGAGAAAAGAAAGATAGTTTAGAAAATTGGAACTGATAAATAAATTGATTAGTTTATTATAGTCAAATTTACACCCCAATAAAGAAACTAGCGGATCTGTGCTTTGAAACTGCGTATGAAGAGGTGAGAGAACACAAATTATAGAACAGATGAAATGAAAAAGTGACCATATTCTAACCATCCTCATTGGAAAAAAGGAAACTATGCATCATACGAAGTTGGCTGTACGACAAATGGTTTTAACTGGAAGCCAATAGCCAAACCATTATAAGAGATGAAGTTGCAATAGTTACCCAACTGAGGAACGCCAAGGCGACAGAAAGTTGGTATTTTTGGCATTCCCCTATAAAATTACAGCCTTCCAAGTCATTAAAATACAATATTGCTATCCCACTTGAAGCAGATGCTGCTGCAAGTGTCAATGTCGCTGTAATCTGCACGTAATATGGGATGAAGCTGCTAAATAACTTCTGCTAATACATGAACTTAGAATTCTCTAAGACCATCACATAGAAATGAAGATGGAGAAAAGGTTTCATGAAGACTTACCCAATCTCCAACGACGAACAGGCTAATGAGAATAGGGCTCTGGAGTACTTTGTTTCTCACCAGAGCATAGCCATCTATTATTGCTAGCACAAAGCTCCAGGTGATTTGCAACCCCAATGAAGCAATCAAGTAGCTGCACACAGGATAGATGATACTAAAACATCAAACAAGATATATTTCGCCTTTTGGGTTCTTTCAGGTTAAAGGATAAGCTATTCCATATCACAGCATCATATTATTTTAGGCCTATTTAACACACATTGCCAAAAGTTGAAAGTGAAACCAAATAGGACAGCTTTGCTTGATGAATTTATAAGAGTTGAGTATGCAAATGCATTCAATTTTAGATTGATGTTTCCAACTCGAGTGGCGGCCAGGGTACATGAATGCACAAATTTAATGAATTAGGAGTACTATAGTGGCAATGGTGCAAGGAAAGTATGTAATCTACAAGAAGACCCAATAAGAGAACTACAGGGGTCGGGAAGTTTAATTCAAGTAATTAGATTCCTGCGATCTATAGTTCGTTTTCAACCCATTGGAGTGATAGCTTTTTGGAAAACTAAAACGAACTTAGAACTGACTGATAGCCTGTGCTTAATGGTATGCAGATGGATATTTTTTGGTCGTCAGCAACCAATAGGATTGAAAAACAGGAAGAACAAATCTTGAACTTTGACAATAGAAGGATGATCAGAATTCAGTACTCGTGGCAGAAAAAACGAAATCAATGATTTATACTGCATTTAACTTGAAGTAATTTCTAGTGATCAATCAGAAAGTGTATGCAGTGCTGGTATAACCATGCTTTGATATTGCCTGTTAGAATTGGCAAAATACCATGAAAAATACATATGAGATGAAAGATTGCCAGAGTTTGGACCTTTTCGATCATGTTTCACTTTCATGGATGGAATATAAGACTAAAATCATATCCGAGAGCATGGTAAACCACAACAGAGAAAAATGGATGCAAATACAGAGAAGCCTAACAGAAGAACTAGAAATGGGGCAAAGGGCACACACCAAAAAGCTGTGAATTTGAAGAAGTAGGAAGTTGAGGCCATTGAAGCAATAGAGCCAGCAGCAAATACACACTGCAAAATCCTCAGAATTAGCCCCGTCTTAGTCCCAGGAGTCCCAGGGAAATCCTTCATCTTCTTCCTTCCCAAATTCAGCAGAACCCCCCGACGATTCTTAAAATCCGATCGGGGGAACCACCCATCATCTTTGTAACAACAGTCTAAACACGTTGAATCATCAAAGAAACTCAAGAAGACCCCTCCAACGATCGGACAGCAATCGAGAAAATCAGGGCACCCAAAACCCCAAAAAATTGGCGGCGTAATCCGGAATCAGAACCGAAATTGAGAAGTATAATCGATCTGGGATTAGGGAAAACCCAATCAGAGCGATGGCGATGCGGTCTAGAGAAATGGAA